GTAGTTGATTACCTTATATTATGACTTTTCTGTAACAGTATCATCAGTTTTTCAGTTATATACATTAACAGCTTATTTTACATAATAGTTTCTTTATACCCCTTTTAGGATGAGATTTATCATCCTAGTAATGTGTCTGACCCAGTTGTAAAAGGGAGGAAAATTTTCTGGCATATCACTCTTAAGCAAAATTGCGTTTTGTCTGACTGAATTTTTAAAAATGTGAATTATTATTTTGATGAATAGCTTTGAAGCTCTTCTCTGTTACTGAGGATCAGAAAATCCCAAAGTCCTCTCTGCTGCTAGTGATGCCAATCCTGCAGATACTATCTTCTACTGCCTTGGAAGACTGTATATCTATGAATGAAGAAGGTCCGTCTAGGCAGCAGTTGGCTCTAAACCTTTTAGAAATGATACAGCAGGAATGTTACAGAGACGACCACCAAAAGGTAATGAATCTATCCTTGTTTCTCTTAAATAAAATGTCGATGGGGGATTTAGGTCTTTATGGATAATATTGCCTCCCAGTGAAGCATCTGGTTGTAATCAGACTTTACCATTCAGTCAGGTAATGCTGCAGGAGATCTTAACGTATTCTTCTGGACTATAAAAAGGAACAACAGGCTTGTGAAATAAGTTTTGGAAATGGTATTTGATCTTTTTTCTCTGATAATCCAGTGCACAATACTAAAGATCCTGATGGGTTCTGCAGAAAAGGAACTAATTGTATTTAAACCTAATGCTTCTCTAACATATTTGAGCATGGATCTGTTTTATAATAATTTGAACATGGATCTGTTTTATATAACGTTTAAAAATTATATTGTTAAGTACAGCATATTGCTAGATCTGGGATAATCCAAGGTGGGAAATAGTCCTCAAATGCCTGGAAATTCTGATATCAGTAAGAACTAAAACTTCATTATTTAATATGGCATCTCTTGCCATATTCCCTGGTGTAATAGCTCTCAGTGTCCCTTGTATATGACACTCTTCTGCTGCCTCCAACTGGAGGACAACAGGCCTGCCACATTCCTTTTTCCAGTCCTGCCTGCCTCACTCTGCCTTTTCAGTCTCACTTTTCCTGTTACAATAATGTAAAAGTATTGTCGTGGTTTGGATAGTGGTTGGGTTTTAAGGCCTAGATTTGCCAGACTTTTTTTCTTTTGATATTTGAGTTTTGCCTTTATCAAAATGCAGCATTACTTCTCAACTCCTTTTATGGGGTTGGAATGAGGATTGAATAAGATAAAGCTGGCGAAGCATCTTAAATCTCCATGAAAAGAGGCACTATGTAAATAGAAACTAAAGCGATTGTGGCTTCATCTGCAAAAGCAGAGGTACCTCTTATGTTAAATGCTCTAGCAGCACAAATCCACTCCTTATTATTTCTTGTTTGAGCATGTAGCAGAAACTGGCCCATAATTATAGGCAAATTGAATGTATACTACAGCTTCCTAGTTGTTTGACTAAAACGTTAAAACTTGTAGCAGGTAATTGATTTGAATTAAATTGGGTTGTTGTATCAGCTGTAATAGGAGTACAAAATCGGGTGGAAAAAATTCTAATAGCTTTTTAACTTTACCTCTTGGTTTGCCCATATGGAAGAATGATTGGATCTTGAATGGGAGTGGGGGCAGGGCAAGAGTTCTGTTCCTTCAAATCACAAGTGTTATTTACTGAGGATCACTCCAACTCTAATACATAAGTACTTGGCTTGCTATTTGCTCAGATGTGTGTGAATCTTACTCATCAACACTAATACCTGGACTTTCTTTTTAGCAGCTGGTGAAGGGGAGGGGCTAAAGTACTGTTAAGGCTATAAATAGCCTCCTTATGATACTGTGCTGCTTTAAGGAGGCTTTGAATAGATATATGATCACTCTTTTAAAAAATTTAAGCCACATTTTACTGTTGGCTTTTTTCCTGGACCTGTCTGGAACTTTACATTCCAAACACGCCTACGAATTTAATATGCCCCAAACTCTTCAAGTCTCTTCCTGAACATTTGCTTTTGCACAGAATGCCCTTTTATGTCATCTGCCTGAACTACTCATTCTTCAGAGCTCAGGCAAATGTTCTCAGCTTCCCCAAGTCAAGAGTATTTGAGTATTGGATTATTATTATTATTTTTTTTTGAGACAGTGTCTCGCTCTGTCACCCAGGCTGGAGTGCAGTGGTATGATCTTGGGTATAAAATGTGATACTTAAAACTTACCTATTGGATTCTCTCTAGGCAAAATAAGTAAATATATTTTTAGAAAATTGAACACTAGTTGTAAATTCTAAAGGGCTTGAAACATTATGATTCCTCCTTGCCCCCTCCCCTCCCACATGAGAATGTAGGGGATAAAAGGAAGAATGCATCAGTGTATGAGTCAGATTCCAGTCAGGAGAGAGAAAACAGACTGGTAATTTGAACAAGGAAAACTTAATGCAAAGAATTGTTAGTAAGAGGTGTTTAGTTTCAAAAATTTATAAAAAAGCATCTAAGGAATATTACAGCAGTAAATGTAGGGAGCTGCTACTACCTCTAAGCTGAGACTAAGGCAGAGTTCCCAAGGAAGAAACTAAAAGGGTGTCTCCCCAGACAATGCTGAGAGTCAGACTTGGGAGGAGAGAATGTGGAGAAGGCCTGCTAGATGATGTAGTTTGCTGGGGTGCCATAGGCTAGAACTGGTCCACAGAAAACCACTTGACATGGTGCGAGTCAGCTAGAATTGGCTGAGCTGGTCCACTGGAAGCCACCACTGGAATATCCTGCATGTCCCTAGTAGCCATGGTAGGAGAAATCGAAGAAGCACACAGGAACCTCAAGAGATGCCCTTTCTACCATTCATTGCAGGGTCTTTACTGGGCTTTCCATTGACAAGGTCTAACATTAGACCTTGTCAATGGATCTCCTCTCCCCCCTCCCCCCTCTCCTCTCCTCTATCTCCTCTCTCTCACTCCTCTCTCTCCTCTGTCTCTCTCCTCTCTCTCTCTCTCTCTCTCTCTCTCTCTCTCTCTCTTTCTTATTTCTGACTGTGTGGCCTTGGACTAGTGACTGAATCTATCTGGTATCTGGGGCCTGGCAAAATGGTAACAAAACACCACCTACATGCGGGTTGTTTATTGAGCACTTTATATGTGCAGGCTTCATTTTAAGTACTTTGGTATATATTAACTAATTTGATTTTATCCCACACTCTTTGAAGTAGGTAAAATTATTGATCTCATTTTACTTAAGAGTTAACTGAGGCATAAAGAAGGTAAATAACTAACTGTCGTGCAGTGGGAACCCAATTATTTTTTAGTAGCTTTATTGAAATATAATTCACATATGCACTTCACTCATTTAAAGTGTACAACTCAATAGCTTTTAGTATATTCACAGCATCATATATTCATTACCACAATCAACTTTAGAACATTTTTATTACCTGAAAACCCCCTGCACTTGTAGTCGTCACTCCCTAATTCCTCTGTTTCTTCCTCACCTCTCAGGAGAGGCAATCTAAAATCTATTTGCTGTCTCTATAGGGATTTGCCTATTGTGGACGTTTCCTTCGAATATATCATACAATATGTGGTCCTTTGTGACTGGCTTTTTTTCACTTAGTATAATATTTTCAAGGTTTGTCCATGTTATAGCCTGTACCATGTAGAAGTGCCTCGTTTTCTTGTAGGGCTAATAGTCCTTTGTATGGATACCTTACATTTTATTTTCCTGTTCTTTTGTTGATGAATTTTTGGCTCTTTTCCACTTTTTGGCTATTAGGAATAATGCTGCTATAACCATTAATATATCCATTTTTGTGTGGACACACGTGTTCATTTCTCTTGAGTAGATGCCGAGGAGTAGAATTGCTAGATTAGGTGATTACTCTATGTTTCACTGTTTGGGGGAATGGCCAGATTGTTTTCCAAAGGGGCTGTACTATTACACATTCCCACCAGCAGTGTATGAGGGTTCCAATTTCTTCCCCTCCTCTCCAACTGTTGTTACGGTCTGTCTTTTTGATTTAGCCACACTAGTGTGTGTGAAGTGATAATTTCTTTGTGGTTTTGTTTTGCATTTCCCTGATGGTATTCTTAAAATACTTATTTTACAATCTAGGAAACTGAGATGAGAGAGGTTAACTTGTCTGGATTACACAGGTAGTAAAGGGTAGAGTTGGAGTTCAGATTTTGTCTGTTTGATTCTAGAGCCTATATCCTGTTATCTACCCTTTCATTTTGTTTTCTTTGTTTTTTTTTTTTTTTTTGCACAGTTTTTTTTTTTTTTTGTACTGAACTTGGGAGTAAATAACAGTTCCATTTCAGATTTACTGGGAAACAAACTGAATTAATAGCAAATTGAAACAAACTTTTTTTTTAGGGTTCTGGTTGAAACTTAAAAAAGGAATTAGGCAGTCTTAGATGTTGTGCTTCTATCATCATCTTCTGAAAGACATGGGACTGAGGATGGTGTGTGTTATCACTTGGTTATAACCAGCCACTCCCAAATCTCTCAAATCTTGTCTAGAGTCTTCAGAGAGGTACAGAGCTAGAAAGGCTCTCTTGAGGCTTTATGTAGTCCAGTCTTCTGCTTGTCTGGTGAGTAATTAATATCCTCTGGCAAAAATCTATCTTCCTTTCAAGGATCTGTAAGTTTGAGTTCCCATACCCTCTCTCTACTTTTGTTAAGTCTGTTTTAGTCGCTATTGCAGATTAATGCCATTCTTTACAGTTAACAAAGATCAACATTGTTCACAATTTCTTTTTCAGACCTCTTTTGACAAAGAAGTACTATCAGATGTCTTTCTTACTGTTACTACTTAATGTACCTGAACATTTTTATTAAATGCTTTTAAAAATAAAGATTCTCAATTACTTATAAAAGATGTTTTACAACCACCCAGTATTTATTTAAATATATTTTCCTATTTAAAAAAAAATTTTTTTATTAATACATAATTCATATAACATAAACCTTTTATTTTTAAACACCTACTCTCTTCTCTAAAGGACAAAGCTTACGAGCACTCTCACAGGCCCTCCCTGAGGCTATGGGGCCAGGATTTTGTAGCTGGTGCTGAGAAAAAAAACCCTTGATTGCATCCTTGCCCTGGGACTGTGCCAATGGCAGCTGTCACTCAATGGGACAATTTCTCCTGCTGCTCTAACCTTAGGCAAACAGATAAACAAAAATAAGAGCCTAAACCTGGATATAACAGTTCAATTAACCTAGGATTGCTTTCTGTTTTATTGTTTACTCTTACATGTCTCTGTTATGTTGTTGCTTTTACTCAGCTTGTGGTTCATGGTAATTCCAAATTACACTCATATTCATGAGTTTTATTGTTCTCTCCTGAAGATGACAGTAATACCGTTTCCTTGTATTTTGCAACTTAAGGCACTGTGCTATGTGTTTTATACATATTATCTTATTATGTACTCAGTAACCTAAGCAGAAAGGTAGTCATTACTTAAATTTTACAAGTGAGTAAAGTAAGGCTTAGAAAAATTGCATAATGGCTGATAGCTGGCATGGCTGTGCTGAAGTCCTGGTCCTTTACATTTTATGCTGTTTGTCGTTAGTCAAAAAAAACTTGGCCATGGTTGTTAATGAATTCCATCTTCTTGGTAAGAAAAATATTTTTAGAGAGCTAGAGCTATATAAACTTAGATCTTATTTAATTTTTGAAATTTGTAATTTTCTTGAAATAGTGATACATTCCAATGGTTCAGACAGCATAAAGTTGGATATAATGCATGCTTCCTTCTTGCCATTGATTTCAGTGATCCAGTTTTCACTCTCCAAAGCAGAAGATGATTTAATGGTTACTAATTTCTTCTGTATTTGTCCACATACTTTTCTTTGCATATACAAGCAACTACAAATATATTGTCTTTTTCTCCTCCAACTCTTTGAAACAAAAAAAATTGGTAGCATTCCAGTCACACTATCTGTATGTTATATTTTCACTTGGGGGAATCTTTTAATGTCTGTACAGTGAGAGCTTCCTCATTTGCTTTTACTGTGGCATTTAATTGTCAAATTTTTATCTACCCTTAGGTATATACTCAAAACTGAACACTTAAAACCTCACAAAAACCTTTACAGGAGTGTTCATAGCATCATTATTTATTGTGGCCCCAAAGTGGAAGCACCCCAGTTACCCATCAATTGAAATTTGGATAAACAAAATATGGTGTATCCATACAATGGAATATTATTTGGCAGTAAAAATAAATGAATTATTGATAAAAGTTACAACATGGGTGAACCTTGAAAACATGCTGAGTGAAAGAAGCCAGTCACAAAGGACCACATATTATGTGTTTCCAATTATATGAAATGGCCAGTATGGAACCGAAGTGGATTAGTGGTTGCCAAGGCTGGAAGTGGGGGAGTAAGGAGTGGCTATAAATGGGTATGGGATTTTTGTTTGTGGTGATGAAAATGTTTTAAAATTAGATAGTGATGATAGCGATAATGGTTACACAACTCTAGGAATGAATTAATAAAATCCAATAAGTTACAAACTTTAAAAGGGTGCATTTTATATTATGGAAATTATATCTCAAAGCTGTTAATGTAAAAATTTTATAAAGCTTAACTTTTTACTTTCCATCCTTTCAATTGTTATCCTAATTCATATAAATCAGCCTCTATTAACCAGACAGTTATAATCTAGAGATGTCTAATCTATCATAAAGCACTTTACATGATTTGAATTACTTTATTGGCAAGCAATGGCTAATGATTCTTTAATGTCTGTGACTTCTCCTGAGCTGTTTATTTACAGAGCTCACCTTGGCTACCCTCTGGCCCTGACTGCATTATTTTATTTCTTTGAACAGCCATTTCTCAGATTAACTTAGTATAATGTCATTTCTGGGTATTATTTCAGTTTAGAGCTGTCAGGCTATTTCTTATTGCAGAAGTTACAATTATTAATGAATTCTCAGGCTCCAGCTGAACCAACTTTGATCCTATCAACATACGATCTGTTACAGTAATGAATTGTCTTCAGTCCAAGTCTGCCATCTGCCCCAGATTGCTTCTGCTTAGGGCCTGGAGATGGGCAAATAAAGTATTTTTTTCTATCTATCTTCTCATTGGTGAATACTTTTTTAGTGAGAATAGCTTTTTCCAAACTCAGTTGCCTCTGCATCTTGTATTTTGATTCATATTTTCTGCCTTAATGGGGAATGAATGGTAAATATGAGGAAAAGTTGTGATAAAACTCTTCTAGAGTTCTATCTAACAACTCTTTTCTATGTGTAATCCTATTACCTCAAATATGTGCAGAATGGATTTTGGCAGTAATTCAATTTGTATTCATTTTGTTGGAAGGAGTGATATCTTACAATGAAATATAAGATTGCCAGAAATGTGTTTCCGACACATGTATTTCTCTCACTTATTTATTCCTCTCTTGTCTTTATTTTTCAGCTGTCCTACAAGCTTGTGTGCCCTGTAACCAGTATGTATGGTTCAATATTTGCAGCCTGGAGGATTCTTGAAGTAATGAGAGATGTGTCTGCTGCAAGGGACTGGTTGGCTTCAGTAGAGTCCTTGCTTCCTATCACTACTGTGATGCCTGTACCTGCTTTTCTTCTGCTGGCTTACCTCCTTGTTGAAGACAAAGGACAAAATCTTCACCAAATACTGAATGTTACTACAGAATTAGCCCAAGCAGATTCGTCCCAGGTAAAGCAAGAGAATAATGAAACAGTAATGAGAAAAAAGCTTAATTATTGGAATTGTAGCATATTCCTGTTTTGTGGGCATGAAAGTTTTAAATTATGGGTTGATGGTGATTTTTTTTTTGTTGTTGTTTTTTTTTGCTATCTTTATCCCTCCAATTTGTTCTTCTTTTTCCTGACTCTGAGTTGTTGTATGCTTAATGATGCAAACATTTTTTAAATGAAAGCACATTTCTCAAGGAAATCTGCACATGGTGCTATTCTGGTTCTTCTAGTTTTTTGGTGGTTTTGCTATTTTGTAATGCTTTTGCTAACTCTTGGAATGTATTCCAAGATATATATCCATTAGTTCTAATGTTGATCATTTAAAGCGGACCCAGATTAATCAACTCAGGATAAAGGAGTCTATATAATAGACATTAATATCTTTTGAACTTCTTGCAGTTTGATACTGTCTTTATTGAATCATTTAATAAGCTAAAAATATTGACTCTTTGCTATGTATGGTACAGATCTGCATGCTAGGATGTGAGGCTAAACAATTTTTCTTCCTATCTGCACAGAACTTAGAGTGTAATGAGAAAGCAGTCAGGCGTTAATAAGACTTTTTTTTTCCCATTCTTTTATACTAACCACATATTTAGCATGATAATCTGTGACTTTTTTTTCTCCAATTGATAGAATCTCTCGAATGCATTTCCTATAAAGGAAAGGTTTTCTAACCAAGTAGATTTGACATTTTGTTATCCTCTGTTTATCAGTATCTATGCTTGTATTTCTTTTCAAGAATGATGGAGAAACCTTCCATCTCCCAAGGGAGAAGTGATGTGTTCGTAGAGGAAAAAATTTGGTGGTAGAAAAGGGGCAAATGTGTTTGAGATATGAAGTTAGCTGAGTACAGTGACTTATGCTTGTAAACACAGCAGTTTGAGAGGCTGAGGTGGGTGAATCACTTGAGGTCAAGAGTTCAAGACTAGCCTGACCAACATGGCAAGACCTTGTCTCTACTAAAATCCAAAAATGAGTTGGGTGCAGTGGTGCACACCTGCAATCCCAGCTACTCAGGAGACTGAGGCAGGAGAATTGCTTGAACCTGGGAGGTGGAGGTTGCAGTGAGCCGAGATCGTGCTGCTGCACGTTTGCCTGGGACTCTGTCGCAAAAGGAAAAAAAAAAAAAGATATGAAGTTAATGTATTTGGAATTCCCTTTTAACCTCAAATGGTCATAGTCATTCGTTTTTGTCATGTAAACAACTGCTGGTATCTGACAAAAAGTTTTCACTCTACTAGACCTCATCTGTCCTGATTCTGCAAGTGGATCTGTAATGTGATCAAAATACTTTTGATTTCATTGTGTCTACCTTATGTGAATCAGTTCAACTTGCTTTCTGCTTTCTCTGTTCTTATATTTTCTGTACTGATCATACTTCTAACCAATATATTCTTTCAATGTTAACATCTGGTAGGATAATCTCTAGATAGTTAATGTAGATAATGCCTGGAGATTATCTAAAGAAGGATTCCCTTGAAGTGACACAGTGGGTTAGCTTGATATGTCTACACCACTGATCTGAAACATATATTGCATCTGCCTATATGTACACACACATGCACACACAGGAAATTTGATCTAGTGTGATACTTTGGGTTATAACAGAAATCCATCTTAAGCTTCCATAAACAGTTTTTTCCCGTTTATTTTTAGTTGACACTTAATTGTACATAGTTGTGGGATACAGAGTGATATTTTGATGTATGTATAAAATGTGCAGTGATCAAATTGGAGTAATAGTGTATCCATCACCTTAAACGTTTATCATTTTTGTGTGTGCATGTTGGGAACATTCAAAATCCTTTCCAATTTTTAATAGCTCTGGTACTTAGGACATTTTTGGTCTGGCCAGTGTTTTCAAGATACAATTTCTTTTCTTTGTGAATTAGCAGGAAGCCCAAAGCCTTATAATCTTATATTCAGAATTTGAAAGGAAAGAGAGAAGTAAAGAAAGCTCAGATTCTCCTTGCTTAGGTCATGTGTCCACATTGGATCAACCATTGTGATGGGATAATGGGGCACTTTACTTGGCCATCCTGGGTAGAATAGAAGTAGGTGAAGTATCAGGCCCTAAAACTGTTTCGCCACTAGATTCATTTGGAATGGGGTGAGATGGTCCTGCAAAGGAAGGATAGATAGTGTCCTGGTTGGAGAAGTGAGAATGTGCTAAACAGGCAAAAAATGTAAAACAGAACTTTTGAGTTTGTCTTTTGGGGGACGCTGAAATGCTGTATATGCGGTGGGTGTGCCGAGATAGTGAGTATCCCCTGTCAGCATTCTGGCACCCAGCTAGTTGTCTCAGCTCAGGCTGCCTGAAGTCTCTGGCTAGTACCTTCTGGCCACCTGGTGGGTAGAAGCCTTATAGGAGTTATTCGGTGTTTAATAGTGTTTTATAATTACTTG